CGCCAGATTTCCCTGCGCCGAGCGCCAGGGAACCCCGCGCCCCGGGCCGTCGGGGAACAGCCAGCCGGGGGTTTCGGGGTCCCGCGGACCGCAGTCTGGGCTCTTGAGGGGACCACACGGAGCAGAGGGAGGGTCCGCCAGCCCTCTCTCCCTGGTGTCGGGGGAGCGCGGGCTCCCGGCCCTCTGAACCTTGGAGCGGGGAGGGCTGGCGCGACGCGGGCTGGGGGTGCCGCCTCCCCGCCGGCCTCACGGCTCACACCGCCCCAGGTGTTCCGCGTGGAGGTGCTGTGCCGCGGGCGCAGACACACCGTGCCGAGGCGCTACAGCGAGTTCCACGCGCTGCACAAGCGGGTAGGTGCGGGCGGCAGAGCCCCGGGCCAGCCTCGGCCACCCATCACCGCCCCTGCCCCCGGAGGGCGCAGTCCTGGGCAGACTCCCCGCGGGCTGCGAGCGAACACCAGCCCGCAGTCCGTGTCGGGCAAGACCGGCCCGCCCAGGGGCGTTTGGGGTGGGTGGCCTCCCTCGCCCCGTCCTGAGTCCCACTCACCAGGGTGTCCCACGGTAGAGCCCAAAGGGACGCGGGGCTTGGGGAGAGCCCTGGCCGGGGCTGGAGGTCTCCTCCGAGTGCTCTGGTTGGATCGCATAACCTCTAGCAGATCAAGAAACGGTACAAAGTCCCCGACTTCCCGTCGAAACGCCTGCCCAACTGGAGGAGCAGAGGGTTGGAACAGCGCCGGCAGGGCCTGGAGGCCTACATCCAGGTGCGCCAGGGTCACTCCCGTCGGCTCCACCTCCTGGAGCAGGGCTGTGGCTCAGGTGTGGGGAGACCCAGGACTCGAAGGCGCGATTTACTCTCACCTGGGTGTTCTGAACAGCGTTGGCTCGCGGGGGCTTTATCGTATTGTTGAGACCGACTGGCGATCGCCAGGAGGAAGGTGGTCCTGGGTTAGGGGAGGGTAAGCCCGTCTGCTTCTAGCTCTGTGTTGCCCCCTGGGGGGGGTTGGGGTCTCCCCTGCACGGTGAGGGCGAACCACAGGCTGGGGTCCAGTCTGTGCACCCTGCAGGGTCCAGTGTTAACAAGGGCCCTGGGCTTGGTTTAATGCTCTCACCGTCTTGAAATTCTTAATTATTTTGGAACAAAGGGCCCCATTTGCACCTGGCTATGCAAATTAGTAGCGAGGTCTGAATATAGGTTTCCTCTGTCCTCCCAGGGCATCCTGTACCTGAACCAGGATGTGCCCAAAGAGTTACTGGAATTCCTGAGGCTTCGGCACTTCCCCGCGGACCCCAAGACTGGCAGCTGGAGGTCAGAGACCTGTGGGGTGGGCGGTGGGGAGTAGGTGTAGGGTTCTCA